AAGTTTTATGTGATTTCAGCAATTCAAATATAATAATGAAAAAGTGAAATATTGTCAGAATTACCAAAATGTGTCACAGAGATATGAAGTAAGCAAATGGTGTTGGAAAAAATGATAGGTTTGCTGGACTCAGTTGCTATAACCTTCAATTTGTTAAAAAAACAAAAAAACACCAAAAACCAATACCTGTGAAGTGCAATAAAGCAAAGCACAAGATGAGGTATGCTAATATTCCCATGATACATTCAGCAGGATCAGTTGCAACCACTGAGTGTGTTTTGGGTAAAAAGGACCACCTACAAGGTTACATCAATTAATTGTCCAATTTGAGATTTATTTCTGGATCCAGTCAAAATAATTTTGCGGGCACACCCCTGGGGACGTCCCAACATCACAATGACTTGTGTCCAACCTCAGTTGCCATCAGATCCCTAGCACAGATTCTAATTAGCAAAATGAAAGCTCATCTACCCAACACTGATAGTATGTCTGCCCTTCTTTGTTCACAATTATGTGTATGAGTTTCACTTAAAAAATTGCTGTCCTCTAGTTCATTTTAATTGCTGTGCAATCAATGAGATAAATCTTTTGGAGATATTATGTACGTATCACTAACACCCTGATGTTAGAGAATATACCTTCCTTTCAAAGGCAAATGGAGGGACACCTGGGTGGCTCAGTCCTTAAGCGTCTGCCTTCAGCTCAGGTCATGATCCCGGGGTCCTGGGATCAAGTCCCACATCGGGCTCCTTGCTCAGTGAGGAGCCTGCTTCTCCCTCTCCCTCTACTGCTCCCCCTGCTTGTGCTCTCTCTCTCTCTCTCTGACAAATAAATAAAAATCTTAAAAAAAAAAAGCAAATGGAAATTTCATAATACAGAATAGGGCACAAAGAGAACAGTAGTTTCTATAAGGTAGAAATATTTAAAATAACACTCTGATACCAATTCCAAGTGAAATTAAAAACAAAATTGAAAAATAAAACTCTTCTACCTGGAAATTTAAGGACCTGTTATGTAATTGTGTTGAAAGGGGAACTACAAACAAGCAATTCCTGAAAGACAATGATAGTGAAAACACTATATATCAGAATCTATATAAAGCAGTAGAAAAAAATATGTAGCCTTAACATCTATATCAATAAAAATGAAAGAATGAACATAAGTGAACTTAAAGTCCTAAATCAAACTAGAAAAATAACAGCAAGATAAACCAAAAGAGAGCACAAGAGAAGAAATGATAAAGATAAAAGCAGAAATTAGTGAGGTGAATAGAAAAATAGCACATTTAAAAAATAAAATTCTGGTCCTTTGAAAAATTAACAAAACAACAAATCCCTGGCTGATTTATTTAAGGTGGAGGAAGAAAACACAAATAGAAAAAATGAGAAATGCTAGGAGGAATGACTAATAATGCAGAGGAAATAAAAATAAAACATTCAAATAAATTTGAAAATCTAAATGATATAATTTCTTAGGAAAATGTGGTTATTAGAATCAACCTCAGTAGAAATAGCCTAAACAGAACAATTTTAATAAAATAAAGAAATGAAAAGCTTATCAAGAAACCATCCCACAAAGATTTATAGATGTAGATATAGATGGAGGGAAAGAGGAAAAATGATAAATTAATGGGGCAAAGTGTTAATAATAGGTAAAAATATGAAAAAAGGATATATAGATACATGTATGTATCTTTTGTCCAGATTTCATGTATTTATGTGTATGTGTGTGTTCTTTGAACTATTTTCATAATTTACAATTTTAGGTACAGTAATTATTTCTAAAACTTAATTCAGAAAACATGTATAGTACCATCTAATTTTTATAAATGAATGTAATTGTGTAATCTGAATGATTTATATTTATACATTCACATTCACAAACATGCCCACAAAGCATTAGCTATTTCCAAACAAGTGGGATTTTAGATATTTTTATGCATTATCTTTTTTGTTTCTCTGTATTTCTTTCCATGAGCATTTCTTTTGACTTAAGATACTAATTTTGTTAATTTAAGAAGTTCCTTAAAGCAAGGTTTATAATAGTGTAAAAGTAGAAATAATTTAAATGGCCACCAATAGATGAATGACAAGCTAAAAACAAGACAAAAATGATAAAAATTAAGCAATTAAAAAAGATACTTATTCTCATTTTAAAGTTTGATCAATTATTCAGAATTCCTGTGGCACTAACAGGAAAATCTTACTTCTGAAATTGCTATTGTTAGAAATAATGAGAACAAATTATCACTTAAGTTTTTCCTAAATACACACTGAGAGAAAAGATACATTGAAGCAAGCATAAATTTTTAATCATAGTTTTAAATGCTTTCTAATCAAATTAGTAAAGGAAGGACAAGCAGCAGTGATTTCAGTTCCTATTTCCCCTACCTGGTGCTCTTAACTTTCATTTATGAGTATTTGACAAAGAACATTCAAGGTTAGAGGAGTTAAAAGCAATATTCTTCAGTGGTAATGAGTTTTCTCTCAGTGCCTCATTGTTTGCACAGTTGGGCTGAACACATCCTTCGTCAAAGCTGTGCAGTTTGCTTCCATAGGACTGTTTGTGCTATAATGTCATTTGAGTATTATTTTTCTGGAGATGGGTAGTGTTTTCCTATGTTGCATTCTAAGTGATTTCCCATTCACTAATTTTTTCTTCAGCTGTGGCTACTCTCCTGTTTAACTCATCCACTGTTTCTGAGGTTTTCTATTTTTAATTTCTAGAACTTATTTTCTTTAAGTCCTGGCCAATTTGATTGTTCCTGTTTCCCTTAACATATTTTAAATACTTTTAGCTTTTAAATATGTTCAAGACACTTATTTTATATTTTGTCTAATTCCAATGTATATTGGTCTGATTTCATAGATTTTGGGGGGGTTGATTTTCATTCATAGTGGCTTTTTTTCCTGTGTATTTAGTGATTTTTAAAAAATTGTCAGCTCATACTTCTGTAAGTTTATCACAGGGAATCCTTTGTGCCTGGATCAAAAGTGCATTTCTACAAATAGCACCTGCATTTGCTTCTGCCTAGCACTACCAGTCCAAGCACACTTTAAACAACATTTTTAGATTGAAGCTTTTCCATGCTATTTGAGCTGAGCTCATCCTAGTTCCAAACTTATAGGAGCATGCCTTGTCAATTCCAAAAAATTTTTACTTTCCACCAACTTAATCATACATTAGAAATTATAAAACTGTGTTTTAGCCAGTTTTTCAGGGTGGCTATATATGGAGGGGTTTCTCTGTGAATCTAATCTGCCATATTGTTCTTCTATATTTTATTTTATTGACTTATTCAAGCTCCAGAATCATGTAGATCAAATGACGGAAGTTTATATTAGAAATATATCTCATATATTACAGTATCTTATATTTGAATACCTGGAAAGGCAACTTCCCCTTATTCTAAATTGTCTTGACTCTTTTCAGACATTTAATTCATTTGTTTTAAAATCCATTGTCAAAATTAAAATATCTGGGAGAGGGGTGTTGACAGGCATTGTGTTCATACTGTATGTGTAAAATTTGGGAAGCACTATGTGCAATATTTAATCTTACCATCTGCACATTTCTAGTTCATATTCTTTTTAGGGTTTTCTCCCTAATTTGGAGAAATCTTTTTTTCCCCACTATAGTTTCCATCTAGTTATTTTGAGATTACTATTTTGAAACACATGTTTTTAATATCTCCTTTGTACAAGTGACTTAACAATTCTTTAGGGTTTTTTTTTGTTTGTTTGGTTTTGGTCATAAGATGGAAGTCTGCCAAAAACAATGGAAATAAAATAGTGCCTCAATTATTGGCTTATTTTCAAAATACCTAATAGTGCAAGGATCATTTCTGCTCTGCAGCCGGAGCAGCCCTGAGAAAATGCCAACTGCCTTTTTTCCCTTTAATGTTCGGAAAATAAGTGGAATTATTATGGTTCTTGAGGTAAACAACCAAAAAAAAAAATCTTCTTGAAATGGATTTCTCCCAGGAATTCAATACCTTTATGCAGACCCTACACATTATATGCTTCATTAAAGCATAGTTTCCACTATTACTAATCGCTGTCATAAAAGATATATACAGTTGTCACTTTCTAGGGTCAGTCTCCAAATTAACAACAAAAGTCCACCCCATCCCTACCCCTGACCCCCAGTATGATAGTTTCACCTCCATATAAAAAATTGCAAAACATTGAGAAGCATATCACTTTTCTGATCTGATGTCAACTTGTAATTCTTCAAAGTTCAAAAGCTATTTTTTCCTTTTGTCATCTAAACTGTCACCATCCCACATCCACCCTCATGTGCTTTGTCCATTTTAGTAGTTAGGTCTCAGCAAACATTCATTGAATTTTAATTGGGAAGCATTTTGGATGGAAGTCAAGAGTCCTAGGGTGTCATGAGCACACTATAAAGGTGCACACATGAGTTATGTCTTTCCATAATGGCAGCTTTATTCAATCATAAAGCAAGGTTAACATAATTATAAAGCAGGTTCAGGATTCCAAACTCAATGACATTCATTAGTGTTTAACTTGTTTTCTTACACATCACACAAATTAAAGCACAAGAGAATCACATAACAAGATAAAACAAGGGGTAGGAAGTTAAATGAACCAAACGCAGTCATTTTGTGAGTGTGCAGTTGAGATAAGGCCTCCCTTCGGTCTAAGTCAGCACTCAGCACTTGGTACTTAAATATGTTCAAGCGGTGAAGGATCTCTGTTCTGTCCCGAAACCATTTGGGCAGGGTCTTCAGGGCAGTTGCCTTTTTGATGTGGTCAGAAATGAAAGGGTCAGCATCTGGAAAGTCTTGAGAGTTTGCTGCAAAAATCCTCCCTTTTTAAAGAAATTTAATCAGTCTTGGACCTTTGTAAACCTCGTCTGGTTCTGCTGGTTATCAGTTTTTGGTATGGTCAGCCTGCGCTGGCTTCCAAGACATCTGGTCTTAGCTGCAATGCCCTTGGCTGCTTACATCACTGCTTAACCTAAATTCGACTTCACAGGAGTAACTCCATCTTAATTTCTACTAAAACCCATGATAAAAGTGAAGCAACAGTGAACTCAAGTGAACAAGTAAGCAATACTTTTTTTTTTCTTAAGAGTTTTTTCCTCGAGAATCTAGTTTATTTTGGCTCCCTCAGTTATTTCCCTCAACGGTCATTTAAAAAACAAGACTCATAGACAAAACACAAATACAGAAGTAACTTTTTCGCTGTGGGGTCGTAATTACAATGTAAGACAGGAGATCCCAAAGCAACCTGAGAGCCTTGCCCTGATTGTTAAGATCTAGGCGATTAGTGAAAGATGATTCCTCCATCCCTCGGTTGTGTTTATCTGGGAACCACCTCCCGTAACTGCGGAGACCTTTGTAGTCAACGGACGAACGTCGTCATTGGCGGAAAACCCTGAATCATTTTACTACGGCCGCTAGCCGGCGCGCTCAGGAAACCTGACCGCATCCGAAGCCTATCCTCCGCCGCACGCCCGGGTTTCCTGGGTTACGGGCCTCCCCACGCTCTCTTCCGGGAGGCGGCGAGCATACGCTCTCGGCGCGTGACGCAGCACGTTTTGCTATAAGTACGTGACGCGCGACGGTCGCTTTCTCTTTGATCGCCCGACCGCCTTTCAAAATGGCGCCGGTGAGTGAGGGTGGGATTTGGGTGGGAGCGTATTACCCCAGTGTAGATGATTTTTGCCATCTAGCAAGTTGGGGGATCTCATTTGAGATAAAGGGAGGGTAGAAATGGAAACTGGGTCAGGAACACAAGCACGATGTTAAGGTTCTCAGTTGTTTTTTCGAGACACCTGGCGACTGCCATGCGGTCTAGTGGAGTTCTAGGTGGGCCCGGAGTTTGGATGAGTGGCGCTGGCAGCGCAAGGAAGGAGGTACAACGATGAACCGGACTAATGGGACAGCATTGGGCCATTTCTTTTCAATCTCGCTTCGAATAATGCCAATGCTAGCCTATTCGTTTGCGCTAGGAAGGAGATTGGGTAATCGGACCGGTCTGATGGCCTTGCCAGAGCGAAGGGAGCTCCGAGGCTACAAAAGTTTCAGAGAACTTTGGAACTAAGTTGAGGAAGAAGTTTCTTTAATTCCTCATGAAGAAACTTTTTAAAAAGATAAAAGTCAGGACTCGCAGATGTAAAAGCGTGCACCAAAGATATTATGTTCTTAATTAACAAGGGAATCAGTAAGATATTTAAAACCAATCCAAAGAGCATTTGAAAAGGTACGTATATGTCGACAATTTACCAGTTCTAAGTTTTGGATATTTGGGGCGGGGGAGAGGGGTACAAGTTACTCGGCTACTTAAAACCAAACTGGCATTAGTACCTGGTGTCCTTGGGGTGGATCTAATTTGGAGATGGCATCCTCTGATACTGATTTGTCTGTTTTCAGTATATTGTCTGAATGTAATTGATAGTAGCCACAGCAGCATTTTACTTGGATAGCCCGATTATGTGTATTGGTCTAAGTTTTGGGTATGAAAAGCTAAAGTTACATAATTTTTTTAAATTGAAAGTCTTTACAGGACCTAGGGTCCCCCTCCCCTCTCTCACCTATAACAACATAAGGATTTAATTCTCTAGACTTGAGTGGATAGAAGATCCTATTCTGGCACATAATTGAGGTTGGGCAAGGTAGTGTATACTACCTGTGTCCCATAGGGCCTGGCCTATGGTAAACAGTATCTGATAATTTAAAATTGAATGTCAGTGGTCTGGAAAATATTAAAGGCCCATAAAACTTAACTTGATGATTGGAAAAGAATGGGCTTCATTAGACATTCAGTGGGTTTCAGTTTTAATTTACAGTAGAAATTAGATTGATCTTTATATTAATCTTCCTCTGGTTGTAAATACAGGATTCTTTGGAATTTACTGATGAAGGGAACTAATAGTGGCTTGCCATATGCTTTGAGCTTTCTTGAGTATTGCACTTTTGAGACACTTGGACGGTGGGCGGGGAAAATTTCCGTTGGATTTTACAAAAACTTGGTTTAAACCAAGGAGTGTATCTCTTTTCACATAGCCTGACTGAGGAAAAGGGTATATCCAATAGAAATGAAGCAATTTTTTAGAATTTTGGACCATTTCATATATATATGTATATAACATCATAGTACATGTACGTCTTTGGGCTGCTACAGATTTTAAAGTTTTGTATATAAAGTGAGCAAATTGAGTAGTTGTAATTATGTTAACTATCTGTAGCAGAAAGACAAGAAGCCTAAGAAGTCAACCTGGAAATTTAATTTGGACCTTACCCATCCAGTAGAAGATGGAATTTTTGATTCGGGAAATTTTGTAAGTATCACTCTCCTCAGCTTGTTTTTATCATTGTAACAGAGTTCTTTTTTTTTTTTTTTTGTAACAGAGTTCTTAATGATTAAAGTATGTAATATTTGATTTTAACCTAAGCTCTATTCCTAGGGTACCTTCCCTAGTGACTATCTAGGGTTTTCTTCCCTAGTTTTGCATGTTTTCTGTTTTAAAATAGGAACAGTTTCTACGGGAGAAGGTTAAAGTCAATGGAAAAACTGGAAATCTGGGGAATGTTGTTCACATTGAACGCTTCAAGAATAAAATCACAGTTGTTTCTGAGAAACAGTTCTCTAAAAGGTTGGTATTTGTTTACCATAATACTTTAGTGAAATTATGGTAATTGTGAATATTTCATAGAATACATAATCCTTGTGTTTTCATAGGCAGGAGTAGATTTGTTGATGATAAGGTTAGAGAGATACAAACAGAAGTGTTTTGAACTTATTAATGGCCTATGTGAATGGAAAATATGTTCAGTAACTGGGTGAGTTACTTAGGCTGGTTGTCAGTAAGCGTAATTTATTGCTGGAATATAGGCAAGTTATATACAGGGCTCCTGTCCAGTGCATGGTAGTCCCTGAAACCCAAATTATGTATGAACTTTAACAATGTTAAATGTTTTATTAGAATACGTTGCAAGAAACATGTCTAATGTGTAACATGAAAGTAATGTCCTAAATTAAGTAATATAAATGTTTTCTTACACATGTGGTTTTAAGGTTTTGGTGGTTTATTTAGTAGAGGCAGCCAGTCAAAGGTAAAGTAACATTTTGCCAGTTTTAGTTCGTTTAATTTACTAAGTATTTACATGGCAGCACTCTTGTAGGACTGGATAGCCAAGCAGGCAAGTACCTACCACTAAGGAGCTTAAATTCTAGTGGAAAGAGACCAATGAAATATTAAGTAGTTGATAAGTGCTGTGTAAATGCATAAAGAGGATTTCAGGGTTGATATTTTTAGATAAGTGGTCAAGAAAATCTCATCGAAATGAAGTGCTGGAGTGAGGCATGCAAATTAGGGAATTCCCAATTGTGGCTGAAAAAGACTGATGGTGGAAGCTGAAGACTACGAACCTGTTGTGAGAATAGGTGAGCCAGTGGTGTTTTGGACTTAAGGAACAGTGCATGTTAGCTGTGGTTATGAATTCATCACTAGGGATTTGGGGATGAAAGGTAATGTTCTCAGGGATCTTAACAGACATGCCCATAATTATTATAAATGCAATGCTGTTAATTGCTGTGTTGAAGGTAAGAGATAGGGCATAAGAATTTGCAGAGAACCTGAGATGGAATGAAGTATTCCTAGCAGAGGGAACAGCGTTAAGAAAGGACAGGGAAGCTCAAGTATTGCTTGATAGTTCAGAATTGATGTAAAGTGTAAATGAAAGAGTGGAGTGATGAAATTAGACCATGTTTCAAAGCTTTTTATAAGGACTTAGCCATATGTTAGTTGAAATTGTGTCGATAAACCTATAAATGGATTCAGCCCTGTTGATAGGTTTCCTGTTGTTGATCGTGGAATTGAGGTTAGGGATGTTGATAGTGGTGAAAGGAATGTTGACAATTTAGTACATAATACATTTAAGGAATAAAATTGTACATTAAAAGGTAATCTGATTATGGCAGTAAAACTGAAGGGGAAACTACTATTGCTCTTACTAGCTTCAACATAAAGGATGTTTATGTTAGGGATATGGGAGAATAGGGTTTGTAGGAGAATCAGCCTATTGTAATTGGGGTTGAATGGCCACCTTATTCTTAGATCCCCAACAACCTTGAACAATGTTGGATACAAATGAAATATTTTGGAGGGAACATTAAAGATGAATGAATACAATTGCATATCTTTTATATAAGCCTTTGCATAGTAGATAATTGTATTTCTTAATGAAATTCATGTCTTTATTTTAAAGGTATTTGAAATATCTTACCAAGAAATACCTTAAGAAGAACAATCTTCGTGATTGGCTTCGTGTGGTTGCGTCTGACAAGGAGACTTACGAACTTCGTTATTTCCAGATTACTCAAGATGAAGATGGATCTGAGTCTGAAGACTAGATGAAGCTGCCCCTTACAGGGTTTTGCTTGTTAATAAAACAAGTGAAGCATGGGAAAGAAAGAAACATCTAGAAATGGACTTTGAGTTTATTGGTAAATAAAAAGCATTGTACTCTGTTTCCGCCTCTTTTATTTAAGTATATGCCATTTACATGATTCTGGGCTTTCCTTTGATAGTAGTTATAAGCAGTATTTAAATAGCTGATAGCTGGTAGAAATTTTTCAGGATTTCTGAAATTCATCCTTTTATGGGTGTCCTCAAGTTAAAGTATGTAGTGTTGTATAGGAAATAATGAAACACTGTATTGGGTATAACTTTATATAGTGAAATACTCAAAATTCTCTTGACAGTCTTAAACGTTTTTATAGTTTGTAAATGCAATTCTGAGTGCCCAGAACAGTTCTTACACATAGGTGCTCTTATTGAGTCACTCCTGCCCTCTGCTTCAGAGATGCTGACTCCTAGTTAGTATAAAAGCTATGAGTGAGCATGGTACTGCTCTAAACCAATGTTTAATTGACTATCAGACATCTCCAACCAGATGCCTTGTAGGTACTACAAATTCAAAACCATCAAATCAGAATTTGGTATCTTAACAGATCCACCTCTGTGTTCCTTGTCTGTCCAACTCAGCCAGTTGGAATCTCGTCTCCTTTCTCAAGCTTCTCCCTGCTGGTAATAATAAAAGTAGTGGTCATCTACTGCTTAGTTCTCAGTGGATGGACCCTTTCCCCCAAATAAAGTAGCCTTTGAGCAAATAGAATGGTTTGGCAAAATCCAGATTGCGAGAGATGAGAGAATAATGGGAGGGAGGTACTGGAGCTTTATCAGTTTTCTGGGTTTTCCAGTAGTCCCAAGTAATGTGTCTCACTTTCTACTTTTAACCTGAAAGTGGTGTCAGTACCTCAGATACTTGGGCCATGGGCCCTGATAGCAGTAGAAATAAAATAATGTCTTGGCTATTACAACCTAATGTACAGATTTACATAACTGGTTTGAGGAATGTTGGGAATAATTTCATCAAGAGTGTCAATTCTCTTGATAATTAAGAACTTGAGGTGCTCCCCAACATTAATGTACTGCTCTAGTGCAGCAACTCCTTTGTTCTTTCCTAGCTGTAATAAACTCTTAACCACCCTGTTTGAATAGTTCATGTTTTCTACCAATAGTTACCAAGATCCTCCTGTCATTCCTTTGTTGAGCATTGTGGATACAAGGGAGTAAAAACCTACTAGTATGGTTAGGGAAACACCAAATAACGCTATACAAACTTTTAAGTACAACAAAGGAGAGGAGTTTCTAAAAGCAATTTGATCTAGTCAAGGTGACGAAGTATTTGAGCTGACTTAAAACATGGTAGTAACTGGGTAAAGGGAAAAGGGAGTTTTGGGCAGAACAACATAGGTAAAGTTCTCAGCACTTTGAGAATCTGGTTGGTATAAAGTACATCTGGAATAGAGTGGTGGTTGTGAGGAAAATTTGGAAAGGTAAGGTGGAAACCAGCCCATGCAGGACAGAAAAACTTTAATCTTGAGAGCAATGGGAAGCTACTGAATTTTAAGTGAACAGTAATACCCAATGAGATGTGCATTTTGAAAAAGATCTATGGCTGCATTGTGGAAAATCATTTTCAGAGGGGTCATAGTAGATGCAAGGAGACAGGAAGGTATATGGCAGTATCCTGTGGTTATGGTAGGTAGCACTGGGGTGTTGGAGGAGATGGGGAGAAGACAGTAAGAGATTTCAGAGGATAAAATCTGGGACTTGGTGGTGGACATTGGTGGTAGGGAGAGGTGTTGAGGGTGACATAATTGACTAGATTGCATATGCTGAGTTTGGTCACAATAGGGGAAGGCAGGAGTAGGGGAAAGTTCATTTTAGGCCAGGCTGAAGTTGAGGTCTACAAGATGTCCTTCTGAGGAAGGGTCTAGGTGAAGATGTCCACTAGTCTGTGCATAGGTGATGATAAACAGTGGGGAGGGGTGAAATTGCCTGTGGTGAGTGTAGAGTGAGGATTAAGTGTTGGAGACACCAAATGCCTCTATTCATCCCCTAGAGTGATCCTTCCAAATGATCTGATTGTGTTATTCAGATGTTTAAAATTATTCTTCAAAGTTAATTTATTAACGTGTGTTCAAGCCTGTGTACACTATACCTTTAAGGAGTTGGCAGGTTAGTTGAGACAAGCGAATTTATTTTAACAATTTATTGAAAGCCAGCTGCATAATGCAGTATCACAAGTAGAAACACTTGTCTTTGTGAAGCTTATACTCCAGTGGAGGAAGACAGACAGTAAAGTAAAATGTATGGTACATGGTAAATATGAGAAAAATAAGGGAGATAGGGAATGTAAGGAGGAAGGAGTGTTGCCCTTGTAAATAGGGTCAGGAAAGGCTTTACCAAGAAGGGCTCAGCGTAAAGACCTAAAGGAGCTAGTGGATCCAACTAGATACCTATAGGAGAAGCATGCAGGCAGGCAGAGACTAGCAGAACAAAGGCCCTGAGGCAGGGGTGCCTCTGGTATATTCAAGGAACGATAAGATTTCTGTGATCTGAGCTAAATGTGTGGTGGAGAGTAGAAGGAGGTGAAATTAGAAAGGTGAAAGGGGTATGTGTGTGTGCTTGGCAGAGGGTGGGTGGAGAGTGGAGGATGGGGTGTTCCATTAAGCCAAAATGTAGCAGCTTAAAACTCAACTTATGGTTTCTGAGGATCAAGAACCTAAGAAGCAGCTTAGCTGGGTGGGTCTGATTGAGGATTTCATGAAGTGAAAGGCTGTGAGCCTTGGCAGCAGTGGTGCAAAAGTTAGCAAACTACTGCTTGTCTTTGTAAATAAAGTTTTATTGGAACTGCAGTCCTGAACATTATTTTTCATATTGTATAAAATGGCAGAGTTGAATAGTTGCAATAGGGACCATAGGACCTGCAAGACCTAAACTATTTATTATCTGGCTCTTTAAGAAAATCTTTCTTTTGGGCTTGACTGGAGCTAATGATCTACTTCCAAGGTTGTTGGTAGAATATGTTTCTTGCCCGGTGCATTCTGCATGGAGCTGCTCATGACATAGCAGCTGGTTTTTCCTAGAGTGAGTGATCCAAGCCAGGAGGAGAAAGCAACCAAGATGGAGGTTCCAGTGTTTATAACCTAATTTCAGAAGTATTATGCCATTGCTTCTCCTTTATTGATCACACAGACCAAAGTTGGAAGAGTGAGAAGGGATAGCACAAGAGTTTGAACACCAGGAGGTGGGGATCTTTCCAAGACTATCTTGGAGGCTGGCTACTACAGGAGATATCAAATAGGCAGAGCTGTGCAGACCATCTGCTTCAGCTATTTTCCTGAGTACAATGAGGAACTACTAGTAGACTTGAGCTGAGAAGTGTAAGCTGACATATTTTAAATGAATGATTATAGTGGAGTATTTTGTTAGTCTATGGTAAGAAGTTACAGGGATTCAGAGAATCTCAGACTAGCCATTCTGTCACGTGACTTCACAGTTTGGAAGCTATGAAGAATAAAGTCATTCGGAGGGGCTAAAAGAGTCTCTCATTTTCTTTGCCTTGCAGCATCTCTACATGAACTGAAAAGGTTTTTAACTTGATTGGTTTTTGTTTTTTAATTTTTTAATTGGTACATATTTTTCCATTCAATTCTATATGTATTTATATCCATAAATAATGTATAACATTGTTTTGTGTCATTTTATAATTTACAAAGTGGTCCCAACCTATGTATATCCTTTTGAATTTATACACTGAATACAATTGTTCATGAGATTTGTGTTGATACATACAGATTTGGTCAGGTTTTTTTTTATTTCTATGTAGTTTTCCATTGTATGAATATTTACATTCCCTGTGATGACCAATATTATTTGAATTTATTTTTATTATTTTTATTTTGTGTTTTTTCTGTTTATGCTTTTCCCTTCCTGCCCTTATTTAGGGGGAAAGGGAGTATCATGTGTTCTTCTTCTTTTTTAATGGTTAACCTTATCTCCCAACCCCTACCTGCTGGCCCTCCGCACATACAACCTCTGGCAACCACCAGTCTGTTCTTCATATCTATGGTCTTGGTGAATATATATATATATATTATATATGTGGAATATATATATTATATATGTGGAATATATATATATATACTATATATTCCACATATAAGAAAGATCATATAGTGTTTATCTTTCTGGGACTTATATTTCACTTAGGATATTGCCCTCGAGGGCCATCCTTATCAAAAATGTCAAGATTTCATTCTTTTTTATGACTGAATAATATTCCGTTGTGTGTGTGTATCACAATGTCTTTATCCATCGATGGACGTTTAGGTTGTTTCCGTATCTTGGCTATTATAAGTAATGCTGCAATGAACATGGTGGTGCATCTATCCTTTTGACTTAGTGTCTTCGTTTTCTTTGGGTAAATACCCAGAAGTGGAACTGCTAAATCATATAGTAGTTCTATTTTTAATTTTTTGAGGAATCTCCTTACTGTTGTCCATAGTGGCTGCACCGGTTTACAGTGCTCCCAATAATGAATATCTTCACCAATACTTGTTATTTCTAGTCTTTCTGATAACAGCCATTTAACAGGTATGAGGTGATATCTCATTGTGGTTTTGATTTGCATTTCCATGATAATTGTGTAGAGCATCTGTTCATGCCCTTGTTGGCCATTTGTATATCTTCTTAGGAAAAATGTCCATTCAAATCTTCTGCCCATTTTTTAATTGGATTTTTTTTTTTTTTGCTATTGAGTTGTATGAGTTCATTATATATTTTGGATATTAAGCTCTCACTAGGTATATGATTTGCATATATTGTCTCCCTTTCACTATGTTGCTTTTTCACTTTGTTGTTCATTTGTTCATTTCATCCATAAACTTCTGTTTCTCTAAATTTTAGTGTTTAAAAAATAAGGATTCTTAAAGCATAACCATTCTACCATTATCACACCTATACCAAATGAACAATATTTTCTTATGTTATTCAATGTTCAATGCTAAATTTCCCCATGTACCTCATAACTTTTAAACTGTGCAAATCAAGGTTGTAGTAAGATCCAAGTGTTGCAATGAAATGATGTCTCTAAAGCTGTCTTTAACCTAGAGATTCT